TTGCCGACCACTGGTTTAAGGTACCATTGGGACAGTATGAAGCCTACCAACATCCACTTCATAAGGTACCAGAAGGAGAATAGAGAGAGCAAGGGATCGAAAACCTTTTTGAAGAACTGACAGAAAAATTCCCTAATCTAGTAAAGGAAAAAGACACACAAGTTCAAGAAGTACAGAGAGTCCCAAATAAGATGAATGCAAAGAGGCCCACACCAAGACATATCATAATTAAAATGGCAGAGGTTAAAACCAAAGAGAGAATCTTAAAAGCAGCAACTGAAAAACAATTACCTGTTGTAAACAGTTACAACAGAGCTCCCATAAGACCGTCAGTTGATTTCTCAACAGAAATATTTCAGACTAGAAGGGATTGGCATGAAATATTCAAAGTGATGAAAAGCGGGAATCAAGTACAACCAAGACTGCTATACGGAGCAAGGCTATCATTTAAAACTGAAGGAGAAATAAAGAGCTTCCCAGGAAGAAAATGCTGAAGGATTTAATTTCCACAAAACCTGCATTATATGAAATGTTAAAGGGTCTTCTAGAACAGCGGATGCCAACCGGTGGTCCACAGACCATTGGTGGTCCGTGAGGTCCGAAAGGTTGGCAACCACTATTCAAGGAGGGGACGGGGGAGAAGAAGAAGAAGAAATAATAGAGAAACAGAGGCATAAAGAATAAAAACAGTAAATATAAATACCTATCAATAATCACTTTAAGTATACATTGTTTAAATGCTCCAATCAAAAGACATAGGGTAGATGAATGGATAGGAAAAAAGGACCCATATATATGATGTCTACAGAGAACCACCTCAGAATGAAAGATACACACAGACTAAAAGTAAAGGGATGGAAAAAGGTATTTCGTGCATATGGAAATGAAATAAAGAAAAAAGCTGGGTAGCAATATTATATCTGATAAAATAGACTTTAAAACAAAGACTAGAATAAAAGGTAAAGAAGGATACTACATAATGATAAACGGAGCAGTCTAACAAGAAGATATAACCCCTGTAAAAATTTTGTACCCAACCTAGGAACATGTAAATATATTAAGCAAACCTTGATGGACATATAAAGGGAGAGATTGACAATAACATACTTATGGTAGGGGTTTTTAACACCCAATTGACTACAATGGCTAGAAGTTCCAGACAGAAACTTAAGGAAACAGTGGCCTTAAATGGCACACTAGATCAGATGGATTTAATTGATACTTTCAGAGCATTTCACCCCAAAGCCAAAGGATATACATTTTCAAGTGCACATGGAACATTTCCTAGGATAGACCACATGTTAGGACACAAAACAAGTCCCAGTAAGTTTAAGGAGATTGAAATAATGTCAAGCATTTTCTCTTACCATAATAGCATGAAACGAGAAATAACAAGAAAACTGGAAAACACATAAAGACATAGAGGCTAAATAATAAGTTACTAAACAATGAATGAGTTAACATTTAGATTAAGGAAGAAGTCAAAATATACCTTGAAACAAATGAAAGAAAACACCACAACCCAAAATTTTGGGACACAGAACAAGCAGGTTTAAATGGGAAATTGATAGCATTTCAGGCCTACTCAAGAAACAAGTAAAATCTCTAATAGTCTTACCTTACACTTAAAGAAACTAGACAAGGAACAATAGCAGAGCCCAGAGTGAGTAGAAGAAAGGAAATAATAAAGATTAGAGCAGAAATAAACAAAATAGTCTAAAAAATAATATAAAAGATCCATGAAACAAGATATTTTTCCTTGAAAAGATAAACAAGATTGACAAACCTTTAACCAGACTCATGAAGGAAAAAAGATAGAAGACCCAAATACTAGTAAATATAATCAGAAATGAAAAAGAAGTAACAGCTGACAGCAGAGAAATACAAAGGGTTGTAAGAAAATATTACAAACAACTATAAGCAAACCAAATCCAGCTATACATTAAAAAGATCATGCACCGTGCTAGAGTGGTATTTATTTCAGAGATATAAGGTTGTTACAATATGCACCAATGAATAAATGTGATGACTACAGAAAAAAAAAGGGGAGATAAATCACATGATCATATCAATAGATGCAGGAAAAGCATTTGCTAAAATCTAGCATTCATTTATGATGAAAACTCTCAGCAAAGTAGGAATAGATGGAACATACCACAACATTATAACGGCCATATATGGCAGGCCCATAGCCAACGCCACAAGACAGGGATGTGCACTTTTACCACTCGTATTTGATAATAGTACTGAAAGTCCTATTCATGGCAGACAAGAAGAGGAAATTAAAAGGCATCCAAATTGGAAAGAAAGAAGTAAAACTCATTATTTTCTGATGACATAATACTGTATGTGGAGAACTCTAAATATTCCACCAAAAACCTACTAGAACTGATTAATGAATTCAGTAAAGTAGATGGTACAAAATATCCAGAAATGAGTTAAATTTTTATATACCAATATTGAACTATCAGAAATGGAAGCTAAGAAAACAATCCCGTTTACAATTACATCAAGAAAAATAAGATACCTAGGATTAAATTTAACCACATATGTAGTAGATCTGTACTTGGAAAATTATAAGACACTGTACTAAAAAATCAAAGAAGGCACAAATAAACAAGGAAGAATAAACATCATTAAAATGTCCATACTATGCGAAGCAATGTATAGCAATTCCTGTCAAGATACCAATGTTGTATTTCATAGAACTAGAACAAATATTCCAAAAATTAAATGGAACCACAAAAGACCCCAAATAGCCACAGCAATCTTCAGAAAGAAGAAAAAATTTGGAGGCATCAAATTACCCTATATCAAACTATACTACAAGGCTATAGTAATAAAAACATCATGGTACTGGCATAACAACAGACATTTAGGTCAGTGGAATAGAATAGAGAGCTCAGAAAAAAAAATTTACATCTTTTTGATCAGTGAATATTTTGCAAAGGAGGTGAGGTAAAGATAGTCTAAAAATGGTTTTGGGAAAATTAGATACTTGCAAAAAAAATGAAACTAGATCATCTTCTTACACTATACATGAGAATAAACTCAAAATGGATTAAAGACTTAAATGTAAGTCACAAAACCATAAAAATCCTAGAAGAAAACACATGTCTTTAAAAGCTACAACTGTTCTTGTAGGAATCTTTTTTTCTGATATATTTCCTCAGATAAGGGAAAGAAAAGAAAAAAATAAACTAAAGGTACTACGTCACAGAAAAGCAAACCAACAAAAGGAAAAGAAAGCCCAGTGAATGGGAGAACATATTCATTAATGATATATCTAATAAGGGGTTAATAGCCAACATTTATAAAGAATTCGTGGAACTTACACCAAAAAACAATTAGGAATGGCAAAGGACCTGAATAGACACCTCTCCAAAGAGGGCATACAGATGGCCTATAGATACATAGAAAAAGTGCTCATCAGAGAAATGCAAATTAAGACCACAAGGAATAACCCCTCAGACTGTCAGAATGGTCCATCATGGATGGACTTGGAGAATATTGTGCTAAGTGAAATAACCCAGAGAAAAGCAACTACCATATGATTGATTTCACTTGTATATGGAACCCAAAGAACAAAATAAACTAACAGGCAAAATAGAAATAAACTCATAGATACAGAAGACAGATTGACAGCTGTCAGAGGGGAGAGGGTTGGGGAAATGGGTGAAAACATTGAAGGGATTAAGCAAAAACCCCAAAACTAGGAGACAGTCATCAGCGTTGTGATTACCAGAGGAAAAGGGGTTGGGGAGACGTTGAAGAGGGAAAATGGGGAATAAGTGGTGATGGAAGGAGACTTGACTTGGGGTGGTCAATACACAGTAGACTATATAGATAATGTATTATAGAACTGTACATCTGAAACCTTTGCAACTTTATTAACCAATGTCACCCCAATAAACTCAATAAAAAATAGAGGACAGGATCATGGACAATTGACTTGACACATAGGTCAGAAAGGGCTTCCCTAGGGGAGTGGGGATGGACTGAAATATGAGGGAAGGGCCAGGGGAGTAGCAACTGCAAGAACTCGACAGGGGCGGGGGGGTGGTTCATGTTTGAAGAAGTGACAGATGTAAAAAGGAGGAAAGTGAGTCATGGTGGGAGAACAGCCTGGGGGCCGGGCGGCGGTAATGAAGGACAGTCTTTACATGGTCTTGTTGAATCGGAAGCATTTGACCTTTATTAAAACCATTGGAGGGGGGGGGGGAATTCGGGGAAAGTACCTAACGTAATATTGACCATTTAAACTAATTTGAAGCATCCAGCTCAGTGGCGTTGTGTACATTAATGATGTTGTGCAACCATCCATTTCAAGAATTTTCTGTCTTCCCAAACTGAAATTCTGTCCGCAGTAAACAACACCTAATTTCGAGTATACAGCTGTGCTGAAATTTTAAAAAGATAATGGAAGTGGTGATAGTGTTAATATCAATTGGCTTCATTTCTCAAGATTATGTGGCATGATCTTGCGAGCTGAGAAGGAGCTGCTGATAGTATCACTATTGTTATCAGGAAACAATATTAATTAGTATTTATTAAATATTATCAAAGATTATTAATATTTACTACTATAATTACATATGTAATATTACACATACTATATAATACTATATAATAAAGTTAAATACAGTATCATGTTATTGTATAATATTAAATAAATAAAATATTAAATATTATTTATCACTATTATTAAATACTCTTACTATTGAGAAATCAGGGGAGGTGGCTGCTTTCTCTTAGGCCGTTTCTGTGTCATTTTTCCTTGTGCATGAGGGTGTTGGTCAAGAGGATGCAACCCTATCGTCTGGCTGCATCTCTGTGGTCCTCAGAGTGAGAGTTGAAAATGGTAACCGTCTTCTCTTCCACCGTGACAGCCCTTACCGGAACGTGACGGAGTTTGATGGGCAGGATGCGTGTGGATCCAACAGCTGGACGGTGGTGGACATTGACCCGCCTCCGAGGTCCACTGACCCCAAGTTACAGAACCATCCTGGGTGGCTGATGCGGAGCCTCAAGCCCTGGACTCAGTATGCCATCTTCGTGAAGACCTTGGTCACCTTTTCTGATGAACGCCGCACATATGGGGCCAAGAGCGATATCATCTATATCCAGACAAATGCCACCAGTAAGTGTATTGTGTGACTTAGGAATTTGTGGGGGAGTCAGGCGTCTTGCCTTTAATATGACGACATAGTATGAAGTTCGTGTTCGTTGCGTAAATGGATGGATGAATGCTCACATGGTGTGCATGGTCTGTGGTAGCGATGGACTCTGACTATGTACCTCCCATCCTGGGTGAGCATGCCACGTGTCTCCAGTTTTCTCTGATGTTAAATAGCACTGCAGCAAACGCCTCCATGGTTCGTCTAATGGATCCCCTCACACCCAGCCTGCAGCTTGCACCCTCCTCACAGTGAACCTGTGTCCTTTCACCTTTCCAGATCCTTCCGTCCCCTTGGATCCCATCTCGGTTTCTAACTCTTCATCCCAGATTATCTTGAAGTGGAAGCCTCCCTCCGACCCCAACGGCAACATCACACACTACCTGGTTTTCTGGGAGAGGCAGGCGGAAGACAGTGAGCTGTATGAGCTGGATTATTGCCTCAAAGGTGAGTGCAGGCCGAGTGTGGGAGCGGCAGGTTTCACACGCATCTGATCCACTGTCTTCCACGCCCAGGGAAATCTCTCTCCTCTTCCTTTTCCCAGTGTGTGCACAAGAGCAGACTTGCACACACACTCTGTTCCTCATACGGAAACACACATTTCTAAACATCACAACCTGAGTACACACTCTGAAGTCTCCTGTGGAAACCAGATATTTCCCATGTCTTGGCACCACTTCCCTCTGGAATTCCCCCCCCCCCCCCCCCCGCCCTCTTCCCCTCTTCCCTTCCCTCCCCCCCCTTTCTTCCACTCTTCCTCTCCCTTCCCACACCCTGTCCCAATGGGGGAGCAGCTGTTACTACCGGAGACTTCCCTGCCGGAGTACAGCAGTTGAGTGAGCTGCCAGGTGGCTGACAAAGTCAGGGAAGGATTTGGCCCTTAACTTTAGACCCTTATGTTTGAAAGCCCCGAGACAGCAGGAGCCACCATCTACTTCCTCCTGTACTTTCTGTTAGACATTTATACTGTGGTGATTTTTTTAGTTTTTAATCTGATTTATTTAATGGGCTTCCATCTATCTACAAAAAAGTATTTGAAGCCTCAAACTAGTTTGTATAAATTAGTTTAAGGTTATTTTAAAAGTAAGTTTTAAAAGACCCTATCAAACTGGAGAAGCAGGTCATGTTTTTCTTTAATTGGTTTTTGTTTGTATTTATTTTTCTTTAGATTTTGGGGGAGTAGTGATATCCTCGGTCTTTGACCTTGGGCTGCTGGTGAGGCGTGGCTGAGGCCGGGAGCTCTGGGTAGGCTCTTAGCTGGACCTCCGACCTGCTATGGCTGGGGCCAGTCACTGAGCTTGTCACCGGCTGCCTTATTTTCGGGAGAAGGGACAAAAGGCCAGATGTCTCTGGGAGCTGTCCCAGTTGTAGGGTCATGGGCTATCTGTATGCCTGTGACCTCATTCCCTGCCCGAGCCACGGGTTGCAAACATTATTTATCTCCTCGACTGCTTTATATAACTCGAGAGCAAGCAGCCGTGGGCTCAGCTGCGAGCTGTTGACCCCGCATTCGAGCAGCTGAACCCGGCAGCAGGGCAGTCAAAGCTCTCCTTTTTTTTTTTTAAGAGCAACAACTTTATTTAATTCATTTTACTTTTTATTCTGGAAGTCTAAATATATCATTACAATCGGGACTATTTAAATGGGGTTTGATTTCTGATGATCCCAAAGTTTATATAATTAAAAGGAACTTTCTAAGGACAGATAGTGTACGATTCCACCCGTAGGAGGTCCCTAGAGGAGTCAGATCCATAGAGACAGAGTAGGTGCAGGGGCCAGGGGCCAGGGGCCAGGGGAGCCGGAGGGGAGGGGCTTCGTGTTTAATGGAAACAGAGTTTCAGTTGGGGAAGGTGAGAAAGTTCCGGAGATGGAGGGTGGTGGTGATTACATGATAATGTGAATGTACTCATGGCGCTGAACTCTACTCTTAAAAATGATTAAGATGGTAAGTTTTACGTTATGGGTATTTTACCATAATTTTAAAAACCCAATGCAAGCACAAATATATAAACTTACTAACACAATATAAATAAATATACTAACCATAACCAGTAGTAGCTTCCTATTAGTACCACTAGTGGGTTTTTTTAGCTTTTTGAGGTATAATTGACAATTAAATTGTATGATATTTTAAGTGTACATTGTGTTGATTTTATACACACACACACACACACACACACACACACACACACATAGTGAAAGCACTCCTCCCATCTGCTTAATTAACATCCATCACCTCACACATTGATCTTTTTTTCTTCTTGGTGAGAACATTTAGAACATACGTTGACTCTCTTAGCATATTTAAATCATACAACACAGTCTTATCAACTCTGTGGCTTTTTATTGTGGTAAAATACACGTAACATAAAATTCACTCTCCTAACCATGTTAAAAGTCAGTTCAGTAGCATTAACTGTATTCACACTGTTGAGCAGCCGTCGCCACGCTCCATCTCCAGAACTTTATCTTTTTCCCGAACTGACACTGTCTCCATTAGACACGGACTCCTCGGGTCCCCCCCAGCCCCTGGCTCCCACATTCTCCTCTCGGTCTCTATACATCGGGCTGTCCTAGGTGCGTCATTATGCTTTACAGTCACGGAAAACCCTGGGACACCACGTGTCATGGGTGCATGCTGGAAAGGGAACAGGTGTCAGCCTGCACCTGATCAAAAGTCCCTGCCCCGCCAGAGAATTGTCAGGAACCCACCCCCACCTCCATCACTAAGGAAATCCAGTTTTTTCCTGCCCATAGTGCCATGGCTGGCCCTCTAACAGTTACCCAGCCAGGTGATTCCATGCCTATTAATAAACATAAGAAGCATTTTTAAGAGTCCCCTGCAGGTTTTAAAGCTGTGTGAGTACTTGGGCTACTCACCGTTCACAGAAAGGTACTAAGAGCTCATTGTCCATGAGATGCATTGAAGCGGAGAGGAAGGATGGAGCTTCCTTTGCTCAGTAGACACTAGCAGCATGGAAGGCTGGTGGAAGGAAAGGGGACTCAAAGGGGCTGTCCTGAATTTTGCCCGTAAGGAATACTGTGCATTCTCAAGGCTGTACCAGAGTGTGGCTGTGCGGTTGGACTCTGGGGTCAAGACAGAAAACAGCTTTGTATTATTAACACTGTTCCAATGAGAAGTTGTTTTGTTTTTTTCATTCCCTTCTCTAAGCTTATTTTAAAACTAGAGGCCAGGGGCATGAAATTCGTGCAGGGGGCACGGGGTAGGGGGTCCCCTCAGCCCAGCCTGCACCACCCTCTCCAATCCAGTGGCCCTCAGGGGATGTCCGACTGCCGGTTTAGGCCCAATATCTGGCCAAAACCGTCAGTCGGACATCCCTCTGTGCTGAAGAAGAATGAGTGTGTTGGTCTATATGTTCAAGCTAATGAGCGCTTTATAGCAAGCAGTCCTTGTGTTCAGCACTAAATAATGGACCTGTAATGAGTGACATGACCATTAATTGGAAGAATGGCAAAGTAAGTTCAATGAGAGAATCAGATCAAGAGAACTGACATTTTACGAACAGAATGCCTGGTCATAGGCAGCCATCTTGTGAGGGTATAATCTCCCCTCATGTCTGTAGTCCAGGGTTTCTCTACCTCAGCCATGTTGACTTTTAGGGCCGGTTAATTCTCTAGGGTGAGGCTGTCCTGTGCTTTCTAGGATGTCCCTGCCCCCTGCCCTCTAGATGCCAGGAGTCCCCCCCACCACCAGCTCTGACAACCAGAGATGGCTCCTGACCTTGCCCAGTGTCCAGTTGTGCAGCATCACCCCTGGGTGAGAGCCACTGCTCCAGCCCACTCCTGGGTTCCTGAATGAGCTGTAGATTCTTTTATTTGTGCTGCACAACTTGATGGCTTAGTGTGATCATCGGGTCTCTAAGCCAGACCCCTCAGAATTCCTGGTAGAATTCTGCTCTGCCCTCTGGTCTATCTGCTTATACAGTTGATTGATTGATTGATTCATTCATTCATTCATTCATTCAGTGGTGACTTGGCTCCCCTGTTCTTTTCTAATCCTCCCTCCCACCATTCCCTTGTACATCATCTCGCTACATGCTGCCCTTGGTGTCTCCGGACATGCCAAGGACATTCCTACTTTGGGCCTTTGCACGTGCTTTGTGCTCAGTCAGAACTGCTTTACACCAAGATACGTGGATGGCTCATTCCTGTACTTCATTCAGGACTGCTCAACAGTCACTGTCTCTGAGACAACCCCCAGACACCTCTCTTTTGACCCTGCCATCTGAGCCATGGCACGTTTATTATTAGTTTATTGTGTGTTCTGAAGCCTCTGTGCACTAGAAGTTCCATGGGGGCAGGGACAAGCTGGTTATCTTACAATATCCAGTCCCATGGGGATATGTATCAGACAGTGTCTGGAACAGTTGACATGCGTCTTCTCAGCTGGCACCGGCTGCGCCCCCGAGAAAGGTCTTACTCTTCACGGTAGGACTTGAACTGAGACCCCAGCCCCGAGCTCTGTGTGCCCAGCCGCTCTGAGCAGGTCCTCTTTGCTGTGTGTGTGTGTGTGTGTGTGTGTGTGTGGAGATTTGAGTCCGCCTGCACTGCCTTTTGTAGGGTTGAAGCTGCCCTCCCGGACCTGGTCCCCACCATCTGAGTTGGATGGTTCCCAGAAGCACAACCAGAGCGAGTACGACGAGGCTGCCGGCGAGTGCTGCTCCTGCCCGAAGACTGACTCTCAGATTCAGAAGGAACTGGAGGAGTCCTCGTTCAGGAAGACTTTTGAGAATTACCTGCACAATGTGGTCTTCGTCCCCAGGTCAGGGGCTTCACTGGCTCGGGGTTGGGGTCGTGCCCTAGGGGATAAGATGAAGGGGGGACCCCGAGAGTGTGCAGTCCGCACTGGGCCTCTTCCCCGGATGCAGGGAGAGATCTTGTGATTTCCACAGGAACTTACTAAGAAGAGCAAATACTCATCAAAACGCGGGAGGGGGGAGTTTAAAAAGCCCATCCTCTGCCTCCCGACATCTCCAGAGCTCTTTATCCAGCCTCCCCTGCCCATCCGAGTTCTGAGACTAACTTTGTAAGGTTATAGATGCCAATCCTGAGAAATGCCTGCCGGCCAGGCCTGGTATATCACCAAGTCTCAAGCTCAGAGCATCCTCTCTCTTAAAATCCTGTCAGCTTCTTATCCTTCTGGGACCTTGCGCAGCATCTTCAGACCCGGAGACTTCTGTTTAAATAGGCTGTGTCTCCGTCAGTACGCGGAGGGACTCGCTGGTGTACATTTCATCTACCGAGGGGGCTTGCAGTAAAAACAACTAGGCGTTTCTTCATCTTCACTTCTCTACAAGCAGACCCCTGTCAGTGCCTCAGTTTACTCATCTCTAGAATGGAGATAGCAAGCTCCCACCTGTGAGGGTCCTGAGGCTCCTGCGTCACACAGGGAGTCTCCGTCTTGGCACTCTCAGCATTTGGAACCAGGTCACTCTGGTGGTGGGGCCGTCCTGTGCGCTGTAGCGTGGGGAGCAGCCGCCCTGCCTCTCCCCCGTGCGGCCTGTAGCGCCGTCTGCATCCTGTTAGTTCATTAGTCTTCACAGTCACGCCCTGAAGCAGGTGCCCCTCCCGGACATGGGTCCAAAGCCTGTGTTTCTGAGCCGACGAGGACTTGCCCCAAGTTCCCCCAGCAGATGTAGAGGCACCTCCTGCCTTTTTACCCTTGACCTCGCCTCTTCACCCTTAAAGACTTCAGCAGCCAGCTGCCCAGAACGTCTGATACCATTGGCCATTTCCAAAGTGGATCGAACCCCAAAAAGCTTACATTGTGAGAAAACAAGCTTCTAAAACGTGTCTTCTTGAACCCCCACCATCACTCCTCATCCAGCAGGCTAGGTGTTTCCTCAGACCCATCAGCACGTAACTCTTCTTCCTTTTTGTTGTCTTGCATTTTCCTCCCATGACCCTGAGGCCAAATGAGCACTAGATGGCACAGAAGCATTGAGGCAGCTACTGTTCTGCCCACTAAGCATGAAACGCTGCCGGACGCGGGGAAATGGCACCCAAGGGGAACCTCAGAAGGCCAGGGCCCGGGGGTTTTCTCTGATTTTTTTCTCCCTTGTGCTGAGTTCTCCACGTCTGTGGGGGAAGGTGTGGTGCAGCCGACGGGGAAGTGGCCCAGGGGCCGCACCTTGGGGTTGCTCGGGCAGAATGTGGCTTCCAGGGTGTTAGAGCAGGAGGTCTGTCTGAAGAAGTTCTGTCTGTACTCAAAGTGGTTGGTTTTGTTTTCACAGAACAATCTCTTCAGGCCCTGGTGCTGAGGACAGTAGGTACGACTCACCCGTGGGACGTCCAGGTGGCCCCTGGCGGCCGCTCAGCGCAGGGCCCATGGAGGAGGCAGAGCAGAGCGCGTGCTGTGCCGCCTCCACGGCCCGGGGCTCCTGTGGCCTGGTGCATGCGAAGGGCCACTCTGCCAAGGCTGGGCGCTTCACCGGCTCACACCTCAAACGCCTTCACCCCGAAGTGGGATCCGGACAAAAATGTGGGGGAAATCTTTACTAACACACTTACTAAAACCTAGGGTCAAGGGGCTTCTTTCTGGGCACCTCCTAGATGCCACATGTTCCCCCCGCATCCACTCACCAAACGTGTATCCTCTGTGTATGCAGAGCGGAGCCTGGTGTCCGTGTGCGGCTGGTAGTGGGGAGGACTGACCTGGAAACAGAACATTTTTTTATTACTTCTTTAATCCTCATCCAGAGATATTTTCCCACTGATTTTTCGAGAGAGTGGAAAGGAGGGGGAGAGACGCAGAGAGAGAAACATCGATGTGAGGGAGACACATCAATTGGTTGCCTCCCATGTGAGCCCCAGCCAAGGCTGGGATCCAGCCTGCAACCGGGGCATGTACTCGGTTAATGGGAATCAAACCTGGGACCCTTCACCACGGGCTGATGCTCTATCCACTGAGACAAACCAGATAGGGCTGGAAACAACATTTTTATTGGGGTGACAAGTGTGAGACAATAGTGAGAGCCAGGTGTGCCATGTCACTGGATTCCACTGAAGACAGTAAGGCATGCTTCCCTTTGAATGAGTTTCCTTTGTTCTTTTAGATACAGTGTTGTCCAGGAGGTGAGGATGGGCAGACAGAACCTGAGGGGAAGGCGAGCTGGTGGGACGAATTAAGGGCTCTTGTGAGGAATAGGAGGCAAGACTGGAAAAGGCAGGGTGCATGCCGTGGGGTTTTTAATTTAATTTTATTGAGATATAACTGACACACAACATTGTATTAGTTCAGGGGTACAGCAAAATGACTTGCTATTTACATATATTATCAAATGGTAATCACAGTAAGTCTATTGAACATCTCACTTAGTCACACATTTCTTTAGTCACAAAAAGTTCAGTCACAAAAGTTCTTATGATGAGAACTTTTAAGATCTAGTCTCTCAGCTTCCAAATATGCAATACAGCATTATTAACTATGGTCACCGTGTGCCTTTACACCCCAGGCAGTATTTATTTTATAACTGGAAGTTTGTACCTTTTGACCCACTTCACCCACTTTGTTCACTCACCCTGGTGATTTTATTCTTTAAGCAGAGTGTGTGTTTGTTTGTTTGTTTATTTATGGTCAGGCATCTGTGTGGCCCCAATCTTCCCTCTAGTGGCAATTTGGAATATAATCTTATAGAAAAGAAAAGTCTAGAATTTTGAGGCTTTGGGCCAGACCAGGGTTTCTGGATTGCAGCTCTGTTGGCACTTGGGACCAGATTGTTCTCATTTGTAGGGACTGCCCTGGTCTCCATTCACTAATTCCAGTAGCGCAACCCGTCCCCCAAATAGTGATAACCAAAAATGCCTTCAGATGGGCCCAGTGTCCTCTGGTTCTGGGACTGGGCAGAATCACCCTGGTTGAGAACCAGGTCTAGTGTGAGCCTGTGGGATAATGAAATGCTGTGTATGTAGGCAGTGGAAGGATCGTTGATGTTTGATCATGGAGGTCTTTCATGACCAGTTTGTGGTCTTTTTGGATATAATCCTTTGAGCATATACATATTTTGCCTCTTTGAGGAGATCATCTTAGTTCTCAGTTGTTGAGATATCAAATCCTCAATAATTCATGAGGCCTCAGCGTCTTGGCCCTATCTTCAAGGCCCACTTGGAACTATACAGGAAGGTTTGAATCTTGCTAAGATGAATATATCCTTGGTTTCTATCTGAGGAAACCACTGGTCTTTTCATACAAAAAGACCACAATGAAAATCATAGTGAGTAAACCTAAGGTAGGGTTTGTTTCCTGACCACACATCTTGTGACCACAGTGCAGTAACAAAATCTAAAAGTTTGAGCAGAAAAGTCTACTTCCTGGTAATTAAAAATCAACTATTTAGCTCTGGTTGGTTTGGCTCAGTTGGTTGGAGCATCGTCCCATGCACAGAAAGGTCACAGACTCAATTCCTGGCAGGGCACATAACCGGTTACAGATCTGATCCCTCGGTCGGACCTGTAGTGGATCGGTGTTACTCTCTCACATCAGTGTTTCTCTCTCTCCCTCTCCGTTCTCTTCTCTCTCTCTCTCAAAAAAAAGTCAGCACTTAGATAACTATTGGGTCAAAACAGAAATAGAAACTTTCACTAAAGTCTATTTGAAAAATACGGAAATGCGAAACACATACCTTAGCTTGTAGAATATTGCAAAGCTGGGCTTTGATGCCAGTCAGCAGACATACATTGTTTCAGAGATTAAGTACAAAATAAAAATGTAAAAATATAAATGTATTAGGGAGGGAGGGGAAATCAATATGGCTAAACTTGTAAATAAAATCATAGGGAAAAACACAAAAATAATTAGAAGTAAAGAAGGTGCCATAAAACTAGGACCTAAGGAAGATTTTAATATGTTGCATTCCATTGACAGTCCTGTGTTATGAAATTTGAAGCTTTCAGTGAGGTGGGAAATTTTAACTCATCTGAATTGATTCAAGAAGTAGAAAAATTAAATATTCTAATAACTGTGAAAAAGACTAAGAAAAGGTGTCAATTAAGTTTAAAAAAAAAACAACACACACACAACAAAAAACAGGCCCTGGGCCCAGAGAGTGTTAAAGAGAAGATCTTTGAGACTTTGAAAGAGCAAGAACTTCCTATAATATGGAAGCTTTCCCCGAGCATAGAAATCTATGGAAACCTACCCCACTTACTTTCTGAAACTAACATAATACCTCTTAGCAGAACCTGAACAAAGATGCTACATTGAAAGAAAACCCCAGGACCAGCTAATATGGGACTTTAGGTCCAGATGTCCTAAATAAAACACTGTTGGCAATATTGTTTTCTCAGAAGTGCAAGGATGATTTAAGATCCAGAGATAGGAACAATGTAATCTAGTTCCAAGAGGCCCAGTAAGGAATATCATATAATTCATTAGGTAATGTTAAAAATATTTTAATTTAGGCGGGGGAGGCAACAAGGTAAATATTACCTAGATGTAACCAATAACCAAGCTAACATCATTCTTAAAACTGTTCCTGTTAGAATTAGGAGGCGTCCAATGTCATGATTACTAATTTACATTTCTCTGAGTATCTAGCTAGTGCAGATAGACACAAAACAGAAATTAGAATTTAAAAGAATGGATGTTTGCAGATACTCTAGTGTAAGGCTGGACAAATGCTGGCCCAGGACCCAGCTACCTGTGTGCTGAAGAAGGAATGTAGCCACAACCATTCGTTTCCATTGTGTCCATGGCTGCTTTCAAGCTACAGTGGCTTGAAGGCCATGGAAAGTTGAGTAGTTGCGATAAAAGCCATTATGTGCCACAAAGCCCAAAATATTCACTCTCTAGCACTTACGATAAAAGTATGCTGACCTGTTTACTGGTGTGTTCCTTGAAAACCCAAGGAAATCAACTATGAAACTCTTAGTACGAGAGGATGGGAAGGTAGGGACAATCTAAATAAACTAAAGCCTGTGGCTATACTAGCAATAATTAGTATACAAAACAAGGAGAAAGATCTCTTTCATAATTGCCATAAGACCTAAGTAACCCCATGTACAGTTACTGTAAAGAAAAAATTTAAAAACTGGCTGAGATACAAAATTTTACAGTTAAATGGGAAAGACTATTTCGGGTCATTTAAAAAAAGTTTGCTGGCAAACAAGAAGAAGTCATGCAACACAATGTGTAAAGATTAATATCTTAAGTGAATGAACAACACAGGAGCGAGGATGTGGAAAAATAGGGTAAGGTGGACAGTTCCCTAGAGAAACACAAAAGAAGCGATAAAGGAAAGGAAAGTTCTCACTCGGCAGTACGAAGAGAGACAAATAAAGCAGTAGAGTGAGGCTCCAAAAAAATGCCTCAGCCCACTGACCTCACTCAGTGTTCCTGATGCAGCGCGGACGTCAGGCCTCAGGAGCCGCGGTGAGACCACCGTCAGTCTAAGGTCCAGATAGAATTTAGCCCGATGTATGAAGCATAACCTAGTGATTTCTCCTCGAGGAATCTACTTTTAGGATCCAATCAGACAATGAGACAATGGTCAAACCAATATTTGTAATACCAAAAAAGAATTGGAAAAACCCTCATTTTAAAAATATAGGAGGATGGTTAAGTAAATTATGGCTTATGCATAAATTGGAATATTTTAGTTTTCCAACTTTTCTGCAACGAGCATGTGCTGCTTTTGTAATGAAAAACCTCGTTTCACATTGAAAAAGAAAGAACGTAAATTCTGTTCTAGTTAGTCTGTCCTTTTTGTTTGTTTTTGTTTTTTTAAATATACTTTTATTGATTTCAGAGAGGGAGGGAGAGATTGAAACATCGATGATGAGAGAGAATCACTGATTGGCTGCCTCCTGCACGCTCCCTACTGGGGATCAAGCCCACAACCAGGGCATGTGCCCTTGACCAGAATCAAACCTGGGACCCTTTAGTCCACTTGATTCTTATAGGCTTTTGGCATCGTATTTTGAACACTCACCCTGGGTGGTCTGTTACTCTGCAAAATGAAAACCTGAAATTGAGCAGGTTGAGGGCAACATCGTGGTACGTCTACAGCGATGGCCCCCGCGCCCTCTCTGTGGGCCTGCCCCCTCCTTCTGAGGCTTCGAAGGGCATCTTGCAAGCGGCTCTGTTGTAATTCCTGGCCATTCACCTGCTCCCTCACATCCCCTGTTCCAGTCCTTTATTCTAAGCCCCTTACTCGCCAGCCGCATTTGTTTACAGATGGTGATTGCATGACCCTTTGTGTCCTGATGTCGCCACAGGTCGTCGAGAAAACGCAGGGCCCTTGGTGACGAGGGTAACGTGACGATGGCTGTGCCCACAGCTCCGGGTTTCCCCAACACCTCAACCATCGTGCCCACAAGCTCGGAGGAGCCGCGGCCCTTCGAGAAAGTGGTGAACAAGGAGTCGCTGGTCATCTCGGGCCTGCGCCACTTCACTGGCTACCGCATCGAGCTGCAGGCTTGCAACCAGGATTTCCCCGAGGAGAGGTGCAGCGTGGCCGCCTACATCAGCGCCAGGACCATGCCCGAAGGTGGGCAGGCTACACACACTGACCAAGGAGGGGCCCTACCTCTTAACTGATCTGCCCATAGAGCTTCTTATTTATTTTTAGCTTTTCCTAGCTGTATTGAGAAACGATTGGCATATAACATCGTGTAAGTTCCTGTAACACAGTTACAAGGTGGTGATTTGACCCCATCCTATATGCACTGTGATTACACTGCATCTGCCCCCCACCATCAGCTAACACCTCCATCACGTCACATTATTCCCAGCTCTTCTTGGTGGTGAACATTTAAGTTTTCTCTTAGCAACTTTCAAGCACACAGTACGGTATGTTTAACTACAGTCACCGTGCTGTACATGAGCTACCTAGGAATCATTCATCTTACAACTGGACGTTTGTACCCTTTGACCAACATCTCCCCACTTTGCCTCGCCCAGCCCCTGGTAGCCACCAATCTACTCTGTTTCTAGGAGCTCTGCTCTTGCAGTCAGACAGTACTTGTCTTTCCGTCTGACCTCTTTCTTAGCCTACTGCCTGCAAGGTCCGTCCGTGTTGCCTTTCTTATTTTCAGTTACACTAGTCATGCAGAGCCATTATATCAACATTAGAAAATACACACAAACCATAAGAAAAAAAATTAAGAAATATAGATGGTATTGAGGCATCTCAATACCAGAGTAACAGAACCAATGACAGACAGACAGGCATAGATATGTGGACAGCTCTTTGAGGTGAGTTTTACATGTTCATTCTCCAGCGAGGGAAATGGAACCTAGGAAGTTATGTAACCAGCTCAAAATCAATAGCTGGTAAGTGGTGGAGGGGAATTCAATCCAGGGATCAGGTCCCTGCCTCTAACCACTGCCCCTTACAGCCAAGGCAGATGACATTGTTGGCCCCGTGACCCATGAAATCTTCGAGAACAACATCGTTCATTTAATGTGGCAGGAGCCAAAGCACCCGAACGGTCTGATTGTGCTGTATGAAGTGAGCTATCGGCGATACGGAGATGAGGTAAGACCTGGGCCCTGGGCATGAACCTGCAAAGCTGTCATTGGTGCCTCCTTCCTGTTCTTAAGTTCCGGCCCAAATGCTTCTCTCTTTAGATGCTTTGCTACATACCTTTCCAGGGAGACGGTCAGAGATACCTGTCCACAGACTGTGTTCAGCAGCTTCTCAAGTTGCCTTTTAGCTCTGCCTACAAGTTGAACGATGGCTGCTTGCATTTGTGTCCCTCCTGACATGACAGGAGACTCGTCTCACTTTAGCGAGAGTTATCTGATTCTGGGAACAGATAACTGAAAACTTTAATACGTGACTGTTTGCTGGGTGCCTGTCTTTACTACCAGACGCTCTGCAGGATGGTGGGTGAGCGCCAAGATGCACAAGACATGGGATCTAAGAACTGAAAAGCAGCTAAGCTACCCAAGGGCTCACTGTGTGCCCTGCGCATGCTGAGCTCTTTGCCTGCATCTCATTTATTGCATCTAAGATGCCACGGAGGCCCCGTTATTTTTAGGAGCCGCTAAGAAGCAGAAAGACACTGCCATCCCCAACTGTGGTCTCCAGGGTGCGTCCCAGTTTCAGAAATGTCAGATGTGGAGATGAAATGCCTCTTGGGTTCGATGAAAGGCAATAAATCCTCAGAATAACAAAATGAGCTTCATACGGAGGCTTCCAGAATTTCAGTTGTGTCCAAGGTCATCCTAGTAAGAACAGAGTCAGGATTCAAACCCAAGCCTACCTGGTGTTCTAATCCAGGGATGGGCAGCTTTTTTCTGTAAAGGGCCAGGTAGTCAATGTGTCTGGCTTTGTAGCCAGACAGTCTCTGTTGCAAATATTCAACTCTGCCATTGTAGCTTGAAAGCCACCATATACATGATATGTAAATGAGTGGGTGTAGTGTGTGCTAATAAAACTTTATTTAGAAAAACAAGCAGTGAGTCAGATTTAGCCTGTGGGCCATCGTTTGCCAGCACCTTACAGAGGTTATAACAAAACTGTCCAGTGTCTTGGAACGTTGGCGATCCTGTAACCAGGTGGGCACAGCATGGCTTCCCCGAGCCAGAAAGGTGAGCTGGGCCTCCCTATGTGGTCCCAAATACTCAGCTCTGACCGTGATTTAAAACTGCAATCAGCAAGCGATGGCCTGTGGTCCAAATCTGGCCCGAGGCCTGTTCTTATGGCTGCAGTGAGTTGTAAAAAGAAACAAAGAAGAATGTATGTCTGCGAGTACAATGGCCAGCCAGCCTCAGCATAGGAGGGGACCTCTCAGGGTTGCACAAAGGGAGGCATGACTCATAGAGGGTCATTATTGTAAGATGTATTACTATCTTATTCTGTATATGTTAATCCCATGTGTCCTAAGGAAATAATTGGGAATTGGAGGGGAGTGTAAAACTTTATTCATGATGTTTTCATCACCATCAAAAAGTGCAAGGCACGAGGTGGATGTCTGTTGGAAATGGACACATAAACCAAGGCATGTCCACAAAGTGGGTGGATGTGCAGCGTTTTGTAAGGGTGTTTGGGAAGACCTTTGCTCAGTATAATGTAGAGGCTGAGATTACAGCCTCTGGGTGTTAGATCCTCATCTTCC